CCACCGACATAGAAAACTCAGAAAGGCGACAAGTACACTCGTCGATGCACTCTTTGTCGCCTCTTGATCGACGTCATCGGATCAAAGCGGTTGCTGCACTCGTGCTTAGCGCGAAACGTAATACGGTAGAGTGGTGATTTTTCTTTCAGACCGATGAGGTGAATGCCCCCTTTAGCACTAATAAACGAAAAGGGGTCCAAACGGACACCAAGGTGCTTCGGAATAATAGAGCTCCAGGTAAGATTAATGAAGCGCTCTGTCTTTACGTCCGAGTTTCCGAACCATGCGCCTGTTGACATAGCGTGCTTCACTTGGCACTGGATACTTCGCAAATATCAGCAAAGTGTGGCACCACGAGAACAATTTCTAATCTGGAGGCGGCAACATCAGTAACGTCATCGGCATAGGCCATCTTTCTTTCTTTTTTTTTTTTGTGGCATACCTTGTAAAATCGACGCCCCGAATCCTGATGTCGCTTAGGATTATCCTGCAAACAGGTTGTAAATATAGCGAGAACAGTCTAGCCGAGAGCGGGGCAGCTTTGTCTAACCAAACCCTGTACTGATTTTTTTGTTACGCGTTTGTTGAGTAGCAGTCGTGATGAATAAACAGTTTATTATATTTCGCGATTCTTTTCCCGACGCCGCAAGCAAAGCGAACAGTAAGGCATACGACACCCGGTCGAAAACAAATTAGCTTAGGCCAATCTGCAACGCGGCCGCGGAAAGTCCGGTTGCTTTAGCTGTATCGGAAAAAAAACTCGAAGAGTGTGAACATTTGAAGTAATAGATCTCCCCTTCAAGGCCATGGGTATGATGATCCCCCACAGCAAGCTTGAGACTCATCTCCATTCGTTTTGCCAGTACCCTGGAGTCGTTAGAAGGCTGATAGGCCTTAATTTGTCAGATGTTAAGAAGCTGGAGCCCTTGCTTATCTGTGGAATAAGCACAGCGAGTGCCTCTCGCTTAGAGAGTGGTAATAGGTTCCGTCGAAGAATCTCGGGAAATACGTTCCATTATATAGAAACAAGAACCTCGACGAACATTTTTTAGAATGATGATCCTAGACCATCTGCTCCAAAGGTTTCCGTGATGGTAGTTCCTTTATTGTTTTCGCAATCTCAGATTTGGTCTTTCTTTCATACGTTTCTGAATATTTACATTAATTCCGGGGAGCGCACTTACCCGCTCGTCCAATGCACCGTTGGTTCCGTCGTCCTTGCTAGAAAACAGTTGTTGGAACTCTTTTACGAGTTCCTCTTCGATATATATCTGGCCTGTTACCACTCGGTCACCGGCAAGAAGTGATTCTTGACTGTTGTGCTGCGCTCGCATTCTTTCCTTTGTAAATTTTTTACAGGGTCTCCTTTTTCTAGCGCTCTAAGCCTGATCCTGAAGATTGCTCGTAGGAACTCTCCCTCCATGAGACTAAGCAAATGCGCCTTGCGGTCACGGATATCGCAGGTGAAGACGCCCGGCGTTTTATTATTTTCGGCGATTAAAGTTTACAGGGCTTGCAGTAAAGCATTATGTGTCCCTCGCGCTTTTATGGTCTCTGCTTTGCCGTGAAAGTAGCAGAGTAGCTTCATATTTTCTTTAATTTCTTCACCTGCCACCGCATCAACATCCCCTACCTGTCCTCGTTCAGATATGGTATTGTTTTTATGTGAAAGCAGAGAGTCTCATCGTCAAGGAGACCCTCATTGAGCTCCCAAGAGCTCAAGCAAAATAGTTTTCTTTTTTTTCTGTTCACCTTTCCTACCCTCAATGCTACGATTGTGTGGTCAGAGAAGGCCATCGGATACACCTGGTACCCGGCAACCTTGGGAAGTGATCCGTCACAAGTAACGGATTACTTGTAATCGGTTACTTTTGCAAGTAATTTTGTAATTGCCACGTTACGTTTTTTTCAAAGGTAATTTGTAATGCAATTGCGTTACAAAATATTGGTAACGAATTACTTTAATTTATCGTTACTTTCTTAAAAATACGAGCATAATACAGTAGCTGGAGCAATACGATCAGAAAATTCAACGGCATAAAGAGAGCAAGTTTAACAAAATACGAAACATAAGGAGGGGAGAATAGCCGAAGAGAAAACACGATATGTTTATGACCAGTCACCAGAACCATTAAAAAAAAAAGGAAAGGCGTGTACAAATATCCAAAAGACAAAGACTAAGTAAAACAACGCCGAGTAGGCTCTCCGTCGCCTTCCATCGTGTTTTTTTTCTTCTCGGCAAGAGAAAGCTTTTCGTGTTTATTTGTTTTTGTCTTCTATACCGTTTCATCCTTTCCAACTTCTTCGACGTCTCCCGCCACCTGCACAGATATTAAACGCGGGTCCGTACCCCCTCGATTCGCGGACCAAGCCAGGACACCCGTCTACGAGAAGCCGGGGCCGAACTGGTATATTGCCTCGCCCGGAGGGCCCCGATCGGTCTAAACGTACCCTGGGCTCAGCTCAACCACCAGGATCCCCTTTTCCCCGGACACGGGTTAAACCACGTGTTATGGCGGCGGCCAACGTGCCTGGGTCCATGGCGACGCTACTCACCAAGCACATAGCACCTAAGGTGCAGGCGCTTGGTGGAGAAAGATAAAGGCGAGTTACTGAATCATCCTGGTCGGGCCAAGCAGGGACACCCGTCTACGAGTGGCGTCTCCACGGACCCCCTGCAGGATTAGGGGTCCGTGGAGACGCCATTCTCCAAACACCTGCTTTCACAGTTGCCCCCGGAGGGGTCATGCAGAAGGTAACACGAAGTATAGTTCAGGTGGTATTTAATTAATTTACTCGATATATTTCTGGTAATTTAGGCAGGAAGCGTGGACATTCAAAGATTTCCTTACGCGGCTGTTGCTTCTGACGTTATTCTACTTTATTTCCTCGGCGAAACGCGCCTAAGAAAAACACGTGCCAAGGCAAGGACGTCGGTGATTTCGCCTCCGAAATAAAAGGGTTTTACGTTTGCGGGGTAAAACAGAAGGTCGCAGCCACTTCTTCAAGCGCGAGATTGGATAACGGCGCTTCACCAGGAAATAATAAAAGAGCAAATTATAAGGTTGTGCATTTGTGGGATTATGGAGGGGGCCGTGTTGGCCTTGCCAGAAAAGAAGCTGGCACGTTTTTCAGGTTTTGTTCCCGTTTTTTAATGATTTGTTTTTGTTGGAATATACGCTTGAGTTCTGAAGACCATGGTGCGCAGAAACTTTCCAATGGCATTCTGCCTGGCGACATCGAAGACGCCAGCTGCTCTTCACAATCGGTGAGTTTTTTTGTTCTGCTCTCACTATATTCACCATAATTTTGGTGACAATAAGAGTTTTCTCTCAATATCTTGTGGCTATTAGGCGTGGGTGGACGTCGACTCATAACGTGATACATGCAGATTTTGTTTTTCAGTTTTATCGTTTGATCAAGGTCACTTAATGGTCTCAAACATTGCATCACTACCGCTAGGGTTATATTCGCACAAAGTTTAAGTTTTCCACATGTTGAACTTACACCGGCTCACCTGCACGCTGACTATTTTTTCGATTTTTATACTCGCCGTAAAACAGAGCTTTAGGTATTAGGTTGGATCCTCATCATAACCTTTCCGATTTCAGTGTGCGTGTGCGTGTGTGCGTGTGTACGTGTGTGCGTGTGTGCGTGTGTGCACGTGTGTGCGTGTGCGCGTGTGCGCGTGTGCGCGCGTGCGCGTGCGCGTGCGCGTGTGCGTGTGCGTGTGCGCGTGTGTGTGTGTGTGTGTGTGTGTGTGTGTGTGTGTGTGTCCAGAAGGGTTGCGCAAGTAACGAATGAGTGAAGGAACACGAAGCAACAAGTATAAGGCAAAGAAACTTTCGATTATGGAGAAACAGTGTAGAACAGTATATTTTAAGAAATTCTTTTTTATTTACTTTTCGATGTATATCTCTTTTTCTAGGTTCTAGTAGCACGTTCCTCTTCAAAATTCATTATACACTTTTCGAAAAATCAAACATATTTTATTTTGCAAGTGAAACGCTTGCCTACTTCTTGTTCCAATGAACATAGAGAAATTTTGCTACGCATTATAGAGGCTCACCAAATTATTCTTTTCTTAAAACAGCTACTGCTGTTTCAGGAGACATGTAGGAACAGCAAGGTATCAGTGGGTTCATCCCACTTTTTGGTAATGTGACAGTATTGTAGGTGCGGCATCATGTATAATGCAGTGGGTATAATGCATTTTGTAACTCAGGGCCAGATGGGAGTTAGGGGCTCTTATTCCGTTCCTTGACGAAATTACGTGACTTAGCCTAAATTCAAGAAATCAGAAACCCCAAGTTTCTGAGGCCTATTCGGGCCGTTGACGAAGAAGATTCCGATTGTTTAGAAACACGTATTTGTCACATTGTAAAAGAACCCGAGACTTAAAAAAATACAAAATATGTAAAAAAATGAACTTTTTTTTTTTAAGACGTTCTCATTTTATTTTTTGTGTCAACTTCTGTATTTTTTCAGTCTCGGGTTGTTTCACAGTGTTCAGCATATACCAGCTAACTTGCCCCTTTACGTCCTCTTTGTATTTGTCAGCCGACAGATTACATAGAATATGTTTGTCTAAATTCTGTATCATGCTAATATTTTTATCAAGAATGGTTCTGCTCAAAAAATAATTAAATATGTGGGCGCTACAATTACATGTCAACCGAATGTAGGAGCGACGCCCCAAAGAATCTGTCTACGGAGAAGGAACCACTCAACCACTAAAAATTCCACTTCCAGCACTTGCGGCCCTGCCCCCTTCGAGGCCTTAGTGCTACCTAATCAAAAAAGGATGTGCCCTATTTTCAGGAGTACTGTGTGGCCCGCACACGTACCCTTCAAGAACGCAGTACCTACGGACCAGTCTCAAGTCAATATACATAACGTTAGTGTGTTTAGGTGCATGTATAGTTTAAACAATGGGTGTCTTTGAATCCATAAACTTGACGTTTCTATTCGCGACCCCTCTTGTGCAGCGCTACACTAAGATGAACGTCCTGACGCTGTTCCTGTCCACCTTCGTCCTTTGTTGGGCTGAAGATAATGACAAGTTAACGAGTGCAAGCAACAACCTTGGCCTCCGCCTCTTTCCTTTGTTTCCAAGCCCTCCTGAAGAAAATGTATTCTTTTCGCCCTGCAGCCTCTCAGTGGCGATGGGAATGGCCTACGCCGGAGCAAGAGGGGAGACACGACAAGAACTCTACGATCACCTGGGTTACTCCAGTGCCGGCCTCCCAGAAGCGCAGGTCTTAGATGCGCACGCTCGTCAGATGCAGCGACATCAACCTGGTCAGTCCAACACGACAATCGACGTCGCTAACAGCGCGGCAATCCACTTAACACTGTCTCTGCTGAACGAGTACGAGAACACATTGAAGAACTCCTTTAAAGCCGATCTTCAAACGGTTGACTTCGTAGACGGTGGACAGGCTGCCGTCGACGTCATCAACAGATGGGTCAAGGAGAAGACCCATGATAAGATCGAGAGTCTCTTCAGTGCGCCTCTTAGTCCCCTCACACGTTTTGTCTTGCTGAATGCCATCTACTTCAAGGGAACATGGGAGACCGAGTTTGAGAAGAAAAATACCAGAAATATGCCCTTTTTGAATGGTGGCGTGACTCAAGCAGAGGTTCAAACTATGGTCGAGAAGATTCGTATTCGCCACAACAGCTTCGAGGATTTGGGTGTCGACGTCGCGGAGTTGCCGTACCGTGGTGGTGACTACAGCATGCTCATCCTGTTGCCCAAGGAGAAGACCGGTGTAGAGGCGCTGAAGAAAACCCTTACGGCAGGACTTCTACAGACTCTCATTGATCGCCTGGTACAACGTGAGGTTACAGTATTTCTTCCCAAGTGAGTACCTACCAGATATTGTTTCTTTCTCAAGTACAGAGGTAGCAAGAATTAGCATTTGGGCCTGCTTAAAAAACGCTGCTACTCGATCACCTTCTCAAGGGTAACGTTTTTAATCAGAGTGAGGTATTGCCAATTTTCGGAAGCGCAGTTTTTTTTAACTGTTTAGAGTTCTGAGAATCAACTATATGGTTTTTGATATGGAGACAAATAAAACGCACCTACAGGCCAAAAAAAAAGGGGGGGGGGTTTGAATAGTATTTGCATTAAAATGGCAATTTGGGCCATTTGGTTTATGATCGAAGATAGGCGCCGAAAAAGGATAATGTCAAGAAGAGACGTAAACACTGCGCCATTGTTTACGTCTCTTATTGTCCTTGTCTTTTTTCGGCGCCTATCTTCGATCATGAACCTACCGTCCCAAAGTGCCAACTTAATTCAGTTTATTCCTAGCGCCAGTGTTTATGTCTCTTGTCCTTGTCTTTCTTTTGGCGCCTATCTTCGCATAGTACTTGCTTTAGCCTGCCAAAAGCAAAGAAGAAAATTATATATTTTTTAATTTTTTTTATAACGTAAGCAATAAATATTAAACATTAATGAAATCATAAATCCAAAAACCGCGCTGGCATAAAAAAAAAAACAGAAAAAGAAACGATTCGTGTAATGTTTCTTAAGATGTGAAACATCATTCTACTATGTGGCGGGGGTTAGGAAGTGTAAGTAGATTGTTTCAATAACTCTAATGAAGATACCCGATATACCGCTGACGCTTTTAAGGACGCGTCCAACACCTCCTAAATAAGATAGTCTAAGTGCTGAATTTGTAGTGCGTCCCTAACGGAGACCACCGACAGTAAGTCGCAGATTGGAGACGAGTGCTGCGTCATGTTCGGTTGGAGCTCGTGCCCAATCGTGAGAACACGACTCTTAGCCGAGCGCTGACGCCGTAGTCGTGCCCGATCTCTGGCCAAAAGTGGCCTTCTTTGGTGACGCAGGAAAATTCAGCAGTTTAGTGCTTAGGCTTTCTTACATCTAGGAGGTGTTGATGCATCGCAGACTTATCGGGTGTCGTTATTGAAGGTACCGTGACGATCTACTAAAACTTCCACTTGTATTTCTCCGAGTCCAGACGCTTTCTGCACTTCGACATTTGTGAGACTCCCCTCTGAGACAAAAGTAGTTTGTATTCAACATGCGCGACGATTAACATACAGGTAAAAAAAAAATGTAGGACGTGGCCTCGTCCCGAGCATCTTATTATCACCCATCAGCCAATCAGGTTGCCGCATCAGCAGATAAGAACGTCCAAGGTCCAATCACTAATCAAAAAGCGCGAGCCAAATTAAGCCCCACACTAGACTTGTGCCTATCTCAAATACTCTACTCAAGATACTGTATTTTAAATACTTTTCGGAGTATCTTGGTATCTTGCAAATACTTTTGATCAAGAGTATTTGATACTTTATTTTAATTACAATTCCGAGTATCTTGTACTCATTATCTTAAATACATTTTTGACATTCCACCATTATCAGAGTTTTTCGGTATGAAGTGGAGAGGGCGTGGCACGAGCAGACGCGAACATTGTTTTGAACAACCAAATCCTGTTGCTAGCTCCGATAAGCTAGAGTGACTTAGACTGAACTCGTGAAAAGATCGCTTTTTTGCAAATTGTGACTCATATTTCAGCGAAAAGTTCGTACAATGAAGTTTTTCCCCTCGCCTCCCCAAAGACGCCTTTTGTTTCCATAGAGTTTCCCCCAAAAAATCCTGAAACAAAAGGGGTGGTTTTACGGAAGTAAAGATGCCACCCTGAGACGCAACGCGGACCGGGAAACGACCTACGTCAACAATGCAGACTTGAGTGTCAAGAAAATAACAATTAAAATAAAATAAAAAAGTAGACAAAAGAACAACATACTTTTTTTTTGTTTTGCTTTTTGTATATTTCGCCCCGCTACGGCAAAACGTCAAACTTTTCTTTTGTTTCTTTTTTTTTGTCGTCAGTCCATCGCTTATTGCTCTCGCGAACACTGTCTGTGATAAGCAGAGAACAGGACAGGAAACGAACTACCAGCAGGATAACCTCTCAAAATGGCAACAAAGTGTCCCCCAGCGTTGAGTGCCCTTCTAAACGCAACCTAATTGAAGAAGGTGTGACCACTGCCGTGGCTATTATGTTGGGTCTCTTTGTTATCCATTCACACATATCCGTATACCAAGTTTGTTTATAGTGAACTCCCCATATAGAAAATATAAATTTCAATTAAACGATGCGTCTAGGGTGCGTCACAGGACGTGATATTCAGGGATGTCACTATTGGCGAGGTGCTCTTGCCCGTTTGTCACCCCCACACCTCGGTGTTTACTCAACACAAGGCCTGTGCACGTACCCACAGGCCTTGTGGGCATGTTAATGTCATCTTTTTAATAGTGCGCGGGGCACAGTCTAATGTAAAAATACCAACAATTAGTCAAGTAACGAAAAAATTGACGTTTAGTGCCGGAGCTCTCCCGAAAGCAGTTGTCAGAGGATGCGAGCTTGACCCACTTGGGCTTTTGTGCTAAGCCGGGCACCGTTCATGCTGCATTCTTCATGCAGGCCGGAGTGGTAACAAAAGAGACCCCCCCCCCCTTCCCCTCTCGGGAGAACACGAACCCCAGCCGAACGCTGACGCCGCGTTCGAATAAGTCAGCTGAGCGCTGAGTCACTGTATTGTTGTCCCTATCCATGTAGTTCTAAAGTTAACCGCTTGGGGCACCACGGTCTGATCTCCTCCCCAATAGCTAAAGCGGCCTCTTTCTTGTTGTCCGAGAAACATTTTGTAACATCTATCAGTGATGAGAGATAATATAGTAAGGGTGCAGGCGAGCTGGAATGTTAACCATGTTGAATAAAGCAGAGACTGGGGCGCGTGGCCGAATGGTGGCCGCGCTTGGCTCTCGCGCGGAGGCTCCCGGTTCGATACCAAGGAGCGGGCCCCTATTTTATCTATTCTTTCAACTTGACATTCTCGTAAGTTCGAGAACCTTGTCGTCTGATCGGAGTTACGAATGTTCTACGCGCCGAACTTTCTAAGCCGAATGTTCCAGAAACCCACGCGGATACAAAAGGTACTCCGAGTGCCGGTCCGGAGTCAGTCTCGCCCCAGCGCTCGATCCTGCTGTTTCGCAGACATCGACGCCTGCGACGCTAGCCTTTCTCTGTTATATTTTGGACACAATTTCGCCCTATTGAACGTTTAGTTTCTTTAGTTGTTCGCCGTCTCATCATTTGTCATTCGTGACAATATCCTGCTCCTTATTGTTGGATAGCGTAAAATAGCCCTACGATACTTTTTTGTTTTGTTTTGTGTTGTTGCGTGATAATAAACCATTCTGGTAAATTAGGTTTGCGCAGCTGCATAATTGTGTTTGTTACTGACTTGATACAAATTAGGCAATACGGAGGTATCTTCAGAAGTAATTGATTTACATTTCTAAGTATTTGTATCCTACTCAAGATACTTTACAGTGAAAGTAACTTAAGGAGTATTTTAAATACTTTATGAAGCAGGTATTTGGTAACTTAACATAAATACGTTTATCGAGTATTTTGTCCAACACTGCTTCTCACACCTGGGTTTCATTAGCCGTCAATGACCATAGACCAGAATATTCGGCGTTTTAGTGCGCGGCCGTATCGATGTATGGATGGATGGATCAGACTTAACCCTTTGAATCGGGCAGCAGCTTGCGCCACCATGCCGGTGTTTCGTTTCTCTTTCCCTTAACATGTTTGGCCAACTGGGGCGCCGCCCTGCGGATATTTTGCGGGGACTGCGGCTAAGCGAAACTTTTTCGCCGTTTCCAGATGCGTCCAGATGAATGGTTCTTGTGCACCCGGTGCTAAAACCGCACACACACATACAAAAAAAAAAGAAAACAGAAAACAGGCACGTTTGAACAAATTGTGTAGGCTGTGCGCACTGTGACATGTACCACTGCGATTTCCGCAGACTCCTGCACCGCAAGCGCCGTCCCGTGCCGAGATTAGAAAGCCGCTCGCGTATGCGATACTAATAAAACAAAAAAACAAATCTGGTCTTTCTCGCATAAAAAAGGAGCACGTTCTATACATTGTGCAGGTTTAAGCTGGAAACCAAGTACTACCTGAAGGAATTTCTCCAGAAGTTGGGCATCAAAAGGATCTTCGGCAAAGATGCTGATCTGTCCGGGATCTCCGAAGACGCCAGCCTGAAAGTGTCGGCCGTGGTGCAGAAGGCGGTCGTCGAGGTCAACGAAGAAGGCACCGAGGCGGCAGTGGTGTCGGGCGTGGTCGGCGCCATCAGGGCGTCGGCACCACAACGAAGTTTCGAATTCAGAGTTGACCATCCTTTCTTATTTTTCATCCGAAACACGCGCACAAACGGGCTTTTGTTTATGGGGCAAGTAAACAAGCTTTGAGTTAATCAAGCTGTGTTTGAAATATTCTTATCAACAAAGGCACGCTTACACTTCGTCTCTCCCTACGGTGGACTAAAGGTAAAAGCTACGGACCGCCAGATGCAATCACGAGTCACTAAGAAATTGTGGGGTACTTCGCCTCGATTCACGTATCGGTGCCCGCGTCTCGGGTCACTGATGGGGTGGGCGGACAGTGGTTCGAATCGAATAGTACTGAGTGACTGAACAAATTTTTTATTGCAAAGAAAGTCACGGCATACGGGATTTTTGCAATGTCGAAGCTATAAAAATGATGCAGCGCTTTTGGATTCAGAGCATTGTTCGTATACCCCTAATCAATGTCATAGTTTAGCACGGAACGTAATTGGACCAGGTGGCCAATGGCTTTGGCCTTTAGTCCATCGTAGGACGAGACAAAGTATTGTGGGACATTTTGGTCATTGCATGACGCTGTGAAACCTACTAATCAATACATTATTGTTTCTTTCACAGACAGCATAAAAAGATTGTCTGGGTCGGCAGACCCCATGATATGCCTTAAACACTGAAGTCTATGGCTTGGATTATGTAGAAGGAAGCTGATTTAATTATTGAGGGTCTGTCAGAGTCAAGATAAAACATTTGTGCATCTAAGCCAGTTCGTCATTTAGTGGGGATCATACGTAATATAGGATGAATCTTTAAAAACACGAAATAGTATACAAAATAGGTATCTTCAAAAATATGTTACGGTTGGCACGACATGTTTGGGAAGATAAAACAATACAGCTTTTCTGTTTTATTTACGACTCTACGCCATACGTCGGATAGCTGTGTTCGAACCTTTTTGTGTGCGGACCTTCACTCTTCTTCAAAAAATATTACGCGGGCGGGCCAAAAAAAAAAAAATGCGTAGACGGACGGATTTTTAGAAGAAAGCTTGTGCGCATGCCCAGAACGCGTTACACAGCCAAGCAGACCAAAATGCCAGAGCAAAGAAGGCGATTATTAAAATGGACCGTACAATCTCGAATATTCCCGAGTCTTTACCGTCCAGGACAACATTTCGAAGAACCCTATCGCTGCATTGAACAAAATCAGCGCTTCGTTTTGTAAAATAATAAAAATTGAAAATCTTAAAAAAAAAGAAGTTGAAATTGATTATTTTGAAAATTGAAAATAAAAAATTGAAGTTAAGCACAAAACAAGCGTGTTACTAACAGTAATTAAACACAATGAAGATACATAGAAAGGGGGGACGGACGGACAACAATGACTTTCGGAACTGACTTCAACGTTTGAAAGCTATTTTTAAATAAAAAAAAACTATAGGCGCCCCCCCTTAGGGAAGTACTTCCCCTTAGGGAAGTACTCTCCCCTTCCGATTTCATCTTTCCGAGTTAGTGGTCACAGCACAGCTTGCGGCTCCATTGAAATGGTGGGGTCGACGCCAGAAAGACGGAGCATAGGCGTTTGTGCACTCAGAACGTTTTCATTTCACGTTCTTCTGGTTGCACCTGGTTGGAACTCTCGCCCTACCTCCGGTGCTATGTTGTGCCACCTCGACCTGCAACAGGGACGAGAATGTGATGATCCACCGCGAAAATGGGCAGGGATGTTGTTGGGAGTGTGAACTTGATTGTAAGTGCTTCCATAGGCTTCGTATAATTCCAGCTCTGCATGCTGTCGCACTTACACAACTGCTTGTTCAAAGCTTTGGCATGTGTTCTCAGCACCTGGATTCCAAAGTGTGTCCGGGTTTCTGATTGGCGTCGTAAAAGCAGTTAAATGTCGCCTTGGAGGACGAGTCAGCTGCTACTAAGATGTCAATAGGTGCTACTCCAATCCCTACGGCTTTGGAGGTGACCGCTCTTCGCGTTGGGGCGCTTTGAAAGCCGACGTGTTAATGCCCGCAAGCGTTAGTGCGTGTTTTGTCTAGTGAACTATGTACAGCGTCCCGCGCTGCTGGGCGGAAAGGCTTTTGCGTAGTGAGCAGAAGCTGCGTGTGGGCCCCTTGGAGTCCTGCAGTTTGTTCGAGGGACACCTGCAAGCATTCCACTGGACAAAATTTCCGAACCTCTTTGAATGCTGGGAAGAAGAGTGTGGGAAAAGGGTTTAGATGCCCCCGAAGTCTTTCTGGGTTGGGAGCGCGAGCTCCTAACCCGTTGATCGCTTCCGAATGTGGCATTTGCAATGGGAAATTGAAAATTTAAAAACTTTGACACGAAGGCAAAGTTTTCGACGTGTTACTGAGCAAAATGTGAGCGTGTTATACCTACAAGTATTTTCAATCTGTGAGCATATATTTTGCCAGCGTGGTTAGTCGATCCTTCCAATTCGATCGCAGTGATTGACTCGTCGAGTGCTCTGCTAGAAAGCTGGATTCATGGGGCGTTCTATGAGCTCCTTCGAAAAGTAGGTTTATGTCGGAGCCAGTGACAGCCTAAAGGGTGCTTACTACATTGAGCCTTCTCGCCATCGCGATTCGTTCTTGGGCGTTCTTCTCCGTTTACACTGCATTTTCATTGACTCTATGGAGCGATAAGACGATGTTCTTATACGTTCTTACGGTCCTCCGTAACATATGGTGATTTGGTACTCCCGACTCGAGTTGGAATCGGGCGGAGTTTTTCGAACACTTCTCTGAGGGTCTCGGCGTAAGCTTCGGGCTTCGCCGAAGGTGGTGTGTCGGCCTCGAAGAAGTCTCATGGCAACCTCAGAGGAGTGCCATAGACGAGCTCGGCGGTAGAACATCCGAGGTCTTCTTTAAGGGCCGTCCGGACGCCAAGGAGCACGATCGGCACTTGGGAAACCCACTCGTTAGGCCTTCCATGGGCCATCAATGCCGATTTCAGATGGCGATGAAAGCGCTCCACAAGTCCGTTGGATCGCGGGTGATAAGCGGTCGTCCGCAACCGTGTCGTCCTAAGAATGCGGGTTAACCCTGTGAAGAGCGACGACTCAAATTGTCGTCCCCAGTCTGTGACTATCTCGGAAGGGCATCCGAACCTGGAGACCCACGTCGAGATGAAGGCGGTGGCGACGGTGGTTGCGGTAATGTCCTGCAGTGGCGTTGCCTCTGGCCATCTCCACGACGCTCCAACGTCGATCATGACTGACGCTGCAGCAACCGCCGTTGGAGCAGTACTCCAGCAACACATCAACGGACAGTGGCAGCCACTCGCTATCTTTTCGAAGAAGTTGAAGCCAGCACAGACGCGCTACAGCGTATTTGGCCGCGAGTTGTGGGCTGCCTACTTGGCCGTGCGTCACTTCCGACACTTCGCTGAAGGAAGGAAATTCACCATATGAACGGACCATAAACCCCTGACAAATGCCATCTAAAACGCATGATCCCATCACACACCTCGGGAAATCCGCCATCTAGCTTTCCTGTCGGAATTCACGACAGACATCCGACACGTCAAAGGCGTAGACAATGTGACTGCCGACGTCCTGAGCCGTATTGACACCGTCTCCTTACCACCGCTCCCAGATCCTGCAGAATTTGCTCGCCTACAGATCGAGGATGAGGAGCTCAAGAGGCTACGATTGTCATCTTTGTTGCAGCTGCAGGATGTCGCCTTTCCGGGTAACATCATTGTTACTTGCGACGTCGCGACTGAAAAGCCCCGGCTGTTCGTCCCTATTTCACTACGTCGAAAACTTTTCGACGCCACCCACTGCCTCTCACACCCAGGCGTTCGGGCAACACAGAGGCTCATGACGTCCAGGTACGTCTGGCCCCGCATAAAGTAGGACGTCCGGGTCACCAAATATGTGGGGGGCCACGAAGCCCTACCACGTTACTTAAAGTGAGGACATTGAACGAGAGAAGCGAACGACGTGTCTGCCTGTGATGGCAGCACGCGCACGCGCCTCGGAGAGCTCGTGCAAGAGAATGCGCTGAAGCCGCCATCACAGTCAGACACGTCGTTCGCTTGTCTCGTTCAATGTCCTCACTTTAAATAACGTGGTAGGGCCTCGCGGCCCTCCACACCATCATCTCGTAGTCCGTGCAGCAATGATCAATTTATCGCGACCCTCCTCGCTCTTCGTGTCTTAAGCGGAAACTAATATACGAAGTGCCAAAAAACGCCTAGAGTTATTTCATGATATTGGAGCCTTTTAAATGTGTCCACAGAGTGCTTGAAAAAAGATAATATAATGTGGACTGAAAATCCACGGCGGGAGATCAAGCGAAACATCCGACCCTCGACGGGTGTGAAAAACGCTGCTTTTCGCCGCGGCCTCTTTAAAAATTCACAAGTCGAGAACAAAAAATCTGACGAACTTGCGGTTTAGGGCGACTGTGTTTCTAGAAACGGCGCCATAACATATATTTTTTTCATCGAAATTAAAAATTCGACCCTTTTTGCCTGCACGATTTGAGATGAAACCACCCATATATACATATATATGAATATATATTTTTTTTTCTTTTTTTGGAGGGGTGCATTTTGTATGGCTACTCTAATAATCGCCTCTACGGAGCTGCCATTCTTGTATACTGAGCACTTAAATGCGTCTTGAGCATGCGCAATGTCTCTCTTCTGCAGAATGTCAGACGCCGCGCGAGGGTCCCCAGTATTGGGGGCCCTCGCTCTTAAATGCGCCGATAGGTGGCTTCAATTCGGTTGGTTTCGGTTTCCGTGGGTTCGCCGCTGCGTTGGTGTGTTATGTCGTTTTCGCTTAGTTTTCTGGTATACAATTATCCCTCGTGGTGCAGAACCATTGATACAGCGGTAATTGACCACCTTGAGAACTACCACGTAGTCACCTGCCTAATTTGTGGACTTTTTTACGAATGCCTTCATCCGATCATGTTCATCGTTGGTTCAGGTTGGAAAGCGAAACGACTGAAATGGTGCGGGGGGAAGATTACAGATGTCAACGGCCGCACTGGACGTGCCCGTTGATACTAGTTTCCATAAAAATAAACTAGTGAAGTGACATGCTTGAAGGCAAAGCTAAGAAGCAGGTCGACGACCTGACGAACAATGTGCTGAATCGCAGAGAACAGATGAACTCGCAAGTTTAGTGCTCACTGTTCGGTTTTCGTGGTCACCAACGTTTTGTGAAAATTGACGACCGGGAAACTCCCCTGTAATGACGCATGGAATGCCAAAAAGAAGCGAGTGGTATTATTTCTATCGGTTTTTTTAATTAATTAAGTAAACGAGAGATGTTTCGATGTTACCTCCTAGGCCGAGTAGGAAATTTTTTCAACTATCAGCCCTGCCAAAGTATTCATTAGCAGCATTTCACAATGCTGACCTTAGGAAACTCTTTGTTATCCGGACATTTCCTTACAACGTACTGAGAAGATGAGATAAGGGACAAATCCGGCACTCGAAGTCTGACGTCTGTCTTGCGTATAATTTGCGAAATAAAATTGAATGGCGAAAGAAAATTTACCTACAGCAAGCTTGGTTCAAGTCAAATGCCAGGCACCACTTCATGGATTTGTGTAGACAGATTTCTACTTGTTTGAACAGATACGCTTCTTACTTTCAGCGGCGGCGAGACTAAATCCGGCATCGACATCGCTGCAATCGAGTGATTTCAATGCTGACGGCTTCTTTGCGGCGTCACAGATTGCGACATTTCCTTACAACGTATTGAGGATATGAGATAAGGGAGAAACCCGCCATTTGAGCTCTGACGTCTGCCCTTCGTTGGGCAGCCACAAGCTGTCTTTGACAGTTTTTTTCACCCGAAGAACCCAACCCTTTGTGCATGAATAAATTAATTGAATTGGTTACCCGAAGAAACTTTAATGATTGCAGGCATGGCACCCAACACAACGTATAGTTCCTTTGAATTAATAAATAAAGTGATCGAGCGAATGTTTATATCGCAAAAATGACGTCATCCTATAATCAAAATAAAATACAGTGTTTTGGAATTCTTGTCAGTGCACGATGCTTTCAAGGAACAAATATACTAGCTCCCTGCGTTGACTATATTTGCCATTTTTAGTATCCTAAATGCATGATAATAAATATACCTTGTGCTTTTTATTGAGCCACTATGACTTAAGCGAATTTGCGCTCTCATAAACGATTGTCCTCCCAAACCTCGTGTGTCTTAGAGCCGTCTGCATACTAAATATGCGCCAGTGCTACAGCTGATTCCTTTCCTCTCACGGATGCGGTACGCCGATGGTGCAAATACACGAAACGTGTCATTTAATCAAGTGCGGAAGTTGTGCACATAATGATGGCATGCTGTTAGGTAGTAAAAGTAAGTATCAGACGACACTTCACAAAGGAAGGCAAAATATGGCGGTAAAACGCGACGAAAAAACACGAATACACTTCGCGTAGGCGCGTAAGGCAGAGAGAGGCGACGAGTTGAAGCCACCTTATGGCGGTCACGTCACGCAATTCCAAGATGACAGCCCACATGCCCATGCGACGGAGGGTGAAAGGTCTACAGTTCGTGCAATAACGGAATAGTCCAGCGCGTTCGACGCGTTGACGGAGCGGCTGGGTCGCTCGTTTGCAGGCGTGGTTTGGCAACGATACTCCACGTCAATTTTCATGCGCGACGTAGTAAAGGCCAGCGTACACTTCATGGCGCTGTCAGAAGTAATTGCGCGAGCGCGTGACTTCGTTCGACGTCTTGTCTTTGACGCGAATGATACGCAAGACAAAGCAAGGTGTCACTGCAGCCCAGTCTGGGGCTGCATTTCCTTCTAACTCGCGGACATATCTTTCATTGCCATCATTCATCCATTTGCCCCTTTTTTATTTTAGGTCAATACACAAGCAGTGCTCCGAGCAGTAGCCGTAGAGGCTAGTCTCGGGTTCATAAACAACGTAAAACTTACAATTAATGCGGCGGGCGAAATAAGCGCACCATAAAATAAAAATTGCGTACCAGAAATTAGCAGCATAATACATACTCACGCGTGCCCCAAATCTTAAACGCGAGATGATAAATCAGTAGACTTACCAACATCATCTTACAATTCGTGCAAAAAAACGTTTGAAAACCTACCAAAAATTCAGGTTTCGCTTTCACAGTGTTAGGTATATCATTCTAAATTGAGGCCCCGTTAAATTCGATGAATCTTGGACAGTAGGTATCGTGACATAGCGATAAATTAAATACTAAATAGGGCGCTTGTTGCAGCCCTAGTATATGCCGTATACAAAATTTAAACAAACTTATTCTAGAGACTATTTTTGCAATTTTTATTTTTTGTCACAGAGGTCAGGAAAAAAACAGGGAGGCTGAAAAGAAGAGGACGTTGCAATGCGGCTTACAGAAAAATGAAAAAGGGTGGAAAACTGAGCAAGTTTGTATTGTCTCGCGGTACTCGCATAAAAGATGCACAAACGAAGGGGACACAACTGCGTGTTTACTTTTCTTTTTCTTTCGTGCTCGTTTTATAAAGGCCAGCGTCTTGTTTACAAACAAGACCCCCCCCCCCCCCCGGCCCGTTTTCCCACAGAAGGTGTGAGCACCGCACGTGTGTGGGAACCAGATTGCCGTGAAGAGAAGCGTGTGCGCATGTAACGACATTAGCGCCACTGCCGTGAAGTGTCGTCGTCATACAGAGCTGTAACATGTGTCGCCTTTAAGTTCGCTTTACAGCAGAACTCGTCGCTTCAAAACACGTTTTTGTTTTTTTCTTTTTGTCTTCTTTTTTTTGCCGGTTTTCCGTTGGGGGAGGAGTCAAGCCTTTCACGCAGCGCGAAAAGTGAAAGAATCTCTGAAGTCTCCGGACGTCACTCGAAGCGACACAGTCACGAGGTCAGACGGCGTCGCGCGAAGAAAAAAAACCGGTTAATTTCCTGGGTCTTCGGCAAGCGTGCATTGAGCGACCGAGATACCGCCGCGTCACTCGGCGTAGCGCTCAACCGGCGTCGTCGTCGTCAGAGGAACGCTCTCTGCGTCTGGCCCGAAGGATTTTCTCGTTAGTAATCAAGAACGCGAGCTACGGCGCAAGGTGTGAGTACCCTCTGCCATGATCCTCGCAGCGAATGAAGAATTTGTTATGAAAGGGCTAGGTCGCCACAAGTTAGGGGCTATCAAGGTTGTCGGGTCTACTCCAGGCTATAAAAAAACTTTGTTCGAGAACGCCATTTTATCCGTCTTTCATAAAAGAATGGCTGCTGTTCAGATATTCTAGTGACGTGTCTTTCATCCTCGCGGAATGTTTTCGAACTAACCCCAGATGCCGTCGCGATAGGCGTTCCAATCTAGCTGACCATGTCGTCTGCTTTTCTTGGCCGGCCGGCTTGTTAAATTAAACGTCGCTGAAGGTGCCAAGACAAAAACTGCGTAGTTGGTTTCTTGAAACAAATAACATGCAAGGTAAACGGAGAAACACTACAAATCTGTAAAGGTATGCGGAACGACACGTTCCTATAAAAAGAAAAAAATATTTTGGCCTAAAAAAAAACGCTTCTCCCCCTTCGATCAAAACGAGTTTCTTTTCTTTGGATACGAAGTATAATGAAATCTATCATAAAATGTATCTGCTAAAACTGCCAGACAAGCGCATCAAGCTAGGATTCGTTGTCATTTCCATTTCCAAGGTGCACTCGATGGTTGTACAGATGAATTGACATAGCTAAACCCTTTTCGATCGGTGGGTGACTCGCGCCCTTAGGCTGCGGCTGCAGCCAAGGCTACAAGCGTGTACCAAGTTGTATTGCGTTTGAGTCGCCATTCCGTTTCATTTCCACAAAAAAGGCTAGTCGTACATTTGCCAACACACCTGCTGACTTATTTGTGCGCTACAACACTCGCTCCTCTTCACAGGTTAATCCGATGATTAGACACTTCTGAGAGCCTGCGCTTCTTTCTCAAAACACTAATTTTTGGTTGCCCTCCGATGATCGTTTGTAATATCTTGGCCATTGGGACGTTCTGTGAGAATATTGCTAAGTGTAACTTTGTTTAAGTAATCAGTTAGTAAAGTGTATCATCAGCGCACGGTTTTTCAATTCAATTCAGTTCGAAGCTTTATTTTATTTCAATTCAAAGTTTTATTTTACAATAAAGCGTCGGGTCCAAGACAGGCAGGCACGCGCTCATAAAAATAAACAACTGAATATGCTTGCTTCCCGTAGAAATGGTTGAGTATAGCTACGTCAAATATTTACTTCCTTCGAGGCGGACGCGCTATTTATGTTAATAGTGAAGTAACCCGCACATGCGCTTGTCTTACCGCGCCACACTGGCGCCACATTTTGTGAATCATGCTAACAAGCCTGATTATGTCTAGCGATACACGCGTCGTTATTGGGACATCTCCGGCAGACCTGTTTATCCCCTGCACCTCTGGCTATTGTAATCCTTGACGTTCCTTTTCAGCGAGCATAAATGAAGGTAAGAGTAGCGTTGTTCTGGCGTCTCGGGAGAGAGAAACTGTTCCACCATCGTCACTTTGTCGCCGAAAAAGATGAAGCAATAACTCTAAACGCTTTCCTCCGCAAAACGAAACAATAAAGTCGCGTGTGCCAGAAGAAAAACAAAAAAAGTAAGTGGTTACGTACTACATAATATGAAACCCAGAGACTACAAAACAAAGAACATAACAACCATAACCCCGTCCTTCTTTATTCCCTCGCGTTCGTAATTTTACAGTATTGATTCACCTCATTGATTCGGCTCACCTGCGCGCACGCTCTTGTTTCTGTTTGTTTGCGTTTTGCAATTTCCCTGACCCTTTGACTTACAAGTAACGACCTTCCCTCTCATATGTGATCCGTGTTCCGTGGCGACTAACCTCAGAGAACTGAACAAAACACTGTATTGCTAACCTGGCCCTTTGCAGCAAGGTGACGTCAAGAAGCCCATTATTTAGAAACCCGTTAGCTAAGTTGGTACTAAGTATGTTCGCAAAACGTGCATTAGTCACTACTCGGTATCTCATCTTGAGCAAAGATTTCAGGAACGTTTTGTTGAAACATGTAATGTAACCGTTGAGGGAGTAGATAAAGGGCTCGCACTAAGCTCAGTAAAAGCCTTTTACGTGCTACCATTCAAGCCGCGAGCAGCGCTATAAACTTACTCCATAACAGGGCTGGTCAGTATCGCGATTCAAATGTATCGCAAAAGTATATGAGAGATACTTTCGAGTATCTGTATCTCCGTATCGAGATACATCTGAAGAATGTATCTGAATCTCAATAGTGAAATACACTTAAGATGTATCGCTTGTATCGCGATACCTTACCAAACTTAGGTATCTCGTTACATTTCTTGTCCCTTTTAAGATCAATTTAAAACATAAAAACATCAGTTTGGTGCAAGTTGCTTCGTAATTTATAATATGACCCCGCCGTGGTAACATGATCTATCTCAGCCACCGACATCAAAAAGAAAATAAAAATTGGTTTTTGAAAAAAGGTTACGGGCAAGAATATGTACCAAGATCAGCTCCTCTCACAAAGCCCTCTACGCTTTCCAATTTAGCAGAGAGAACACTGTTAAGAAGTTGAGTGAAGAAAAAGTGCGGCCTTGTTGTCCAATATCCCCACACTATGGGTGACTCAGAAGCTTAAAATACGACAGTTTGAGATGCGCCCTCACGGCAAAACAGGGTTCATTTCGGGCAGACGCCCTTTGTCAAGCATGGCACGCAGTGTTGACCGTTTTGCAACGATGTGGCTCAATGGGGCGACATGTTTTCTCTTGTGGCATCAATGAAAAATAAAGAGTTTGAGGTAAGGGGAACAGCAGAAAATAGCATGAAAAAGGAGCACAATCATAAATTACCATTCGTATTCGCCACGCACCCTCCCCACCTAGCACCGTTCCGGAACAACTGTATTTCTATAAGTATCTGTATCAGTATTCCGGAATACTCTTTCGCCGGTTTCGCAGAAGTATCTCAGGGATGTACTCGTTGCATTAAAGACAAATGTATTTCAGTATCTGTCTTTTGTGCCTTAAAACGCATGTATCTTAGTATTTATATTGCCGAATACTCTTTTGAGTATCTCTGCCCAGCCCTGCTCCATAAATACACCTTAAATACAGTCACGGGTTCTCATGTGAAAATATACCAAAGATATACACATCTGGGTCTTCATCTAGCTGAATACCGACAAAGTAACTTCAAAAGAGATTTGCTTCTATTGAACGTATGTGTTCGTTTTATATATACAAGGTGTTATTTTTTATTCGAAAGAGAATTGTTAAAAAGGCCTCTTGACCGCTACGTGGATGACGTGGACATTTGAGGGCCAACAACCGGCACAGTCTGGAGAGTAAACAACAAAACTTCGTTGATTAACTTTTGAATTAGTAAAACAATAATATACTTCTGATTAGAAACCTGCAGAGCGTCATTTAAAACCAATAAATCAGTAATTTTGAGAAAGACCTTCATCGCGTGGGAAGCGCAGTAGTGCGCTAAAGTTAGCACTCGCGCAGCAGGTACAAAGCGACCGGTGCGATAAGGCGCCCGCGCGATTTTTCCCTCTCTTATCGTAGCCCCAGCCTCGTATTTGCTGCACGAGTGGTGATTTTAGCGCACTACCGCGCTTCTCACGCGATGAAAGTCATTAAAAAATTACTGATTTTGTGGTTTTAAATCACGCTTACCAAGATCCCGATTGGAACAATACGTATATGTTCACTAAATAAAAATTTGACTAACGAATTTTTGTTAATTACTCACCAGACAGTGACGGTCATTCGCCCATCGTATGTCTGCCGAGCTCCAGAAACATATAGTGAAGACGGCTTTCACGTGGCAATAAAGACGCATTAAAAAAAAAAAGCTGTTTTGGATAAAAAAAATATTACCCGGTATATGGACGCTTTCTAGTTTATACGAAACGAATCTTGTTCCATCGAGTCGCCAAAACTATGTAAAGATTTCAATTGATAATTGGTCATTAATAATTATATTATTTTATGTCTTTCCGCCGTGAAAAAAACAAGAAAAGGAAAAAAGACTCACGAACATTGATACTGCGCGTTTTGTCTGTGAGTGAAAGGCTTAGCTGGTGGTAGCAAACCCACAAAGAAAACGAGCGGACGGCGCACTTTGCTTGATTGACTCCATAGTTTCGCAGCGTCGATTCCAGTAGCGTAGTACAGCAGTACAACCAAACGTCACCGCACAGCCTTTTATCGCTCATTGGCTTCGCGAACCTCACGGCGGGGAATCCCTGACGGCTACAAAGTGCGATGCAACTCGGCGGCGACAGCAGCAGGCTGAAAGCAAACGGAAGAAACTGCGAGTGACTCCTCGTCAAGGTCGCGATATGTCAGAAGGGGAAACCGGTCTTTATCGCGTGCCCCGCAGCGTCGGTCGGAGTCGCCCCGTTCACTTTCCCCTTCTTTTCAAAGTGGCGATTATCAACCAGCCCTTTCGTTTCTTTATCTTTCTTTTTTTTTTTTTTTGCTTTCAGCCGTCAACGAAATAATCAGGAGCGAGAGTATGCAGACAAGGTGGTTAGGAAACATCATAATCAACTCCCCCCCCCCCCTAAAAAAAAAAAAAAACGAAAAAAAAAAACTTATATTTTTTTTGTTTTTTGTTTTAGGGTTTGGATTATAAAAAACGAAATGATGTTGTCCTACTTTTGTTGGGACGTTAGTTGAAATTGAGCCACATGCATCCGACGCGTCAAGTGCACTGCATTTCGTATGCGGGGCACAAGTTCGTCTGCTTCTTTTGCAGGGGTTGTGATGACGTCAGAACACGGAGCTCTGATTGGCTTCGATTAAACGGATAGTGGGTAGACCTAAATGCAGGTAGCAGTTCCGCAGAGGTTCGACTCAGGTTCGACTGCTATGCGCATGCGCAACAGGCTTGCCAGTTTGCTCCGGATTAGATGGTGATGGCTAAGGGATGAATTAAGGGCAGCACTGATTGGTTATTTCAGTTAATACAGTACAAACCATTAAGTTTTTAACTCCTTCGGTGATTAGAATAAGTTTCTTTTAATTGCATCTGTTCACATAATAAAAATAACCCTTTTCGT